ACAGTAACTTACATAAGCACCGAACCTGTAACCCGTACCCCGTACATGTAAACCGTCCTAGTTCTTAGACGTATACACAGTGGTCCTGTCAAGTTGTGTGACCGCTCAGTGAGCCCTATAGACGACGGGCTTTCATTGTCCTTGCGTAGCCGATCTCAATCCAGAAGCTATGTTCAAGTATTTGAAATTTTTGCGTATTACGCCTAATACAAAGAGCTGTACGAAAGGCATATGAAAGGGCACCAAAGGGCATCAAATCCTGATTTCAGGATAAAAATATGGCTGATTTTAACTTTATGTAAATGATGAGAGCAGTGCTATATATATAATCCAGCTTACAATAGCGGGCATGATATCGGAAAAATCGTCAAACTACCCTTGGTGTATTAGATAGATTTTTAAGCGATATCCGAGAAATAATACTAGCGTGACTTCCACCGTACAACGATCCCCCATTCAAGTCGGTGTAAATTGGACTTATGACTCCTGACGTTTCCCTTGACCGCGTGAGCTCCTCGTTGCCTCTTTTCTCATCATGGGTTCGGAGTACTGTAGGAAGTATGGTATCCAATTGAGATCTTTGGCAAAAGCACCATATCCTGAATAATGGCTGATACTTCCCATGAAAGGCTAATCACAGAGAGTAAGTTAGGAACTTACTTCAGTAGTCCCAAAGACCAAAAAAAGGGGTAAAGCATCTTAATCGAGGAAAATTAATTAGGGTGAATTTAATAGTGCCATACTGTATCATACTTAGAGACTCTATTACTCGAAATCCCGCGCCATCTAACCGGAATACGGAGAGAATGGTGCCTATTCTGTCTGAAATGTTCCAGTCAGCTATTCCAGATGCGTAACGACATGACCTTACGCAATAGCTGTAAGTTGAATCGCTATAAAAAGGAATAGTCGAAGGGAGAAAGCGTTCAGTTGTAACATTTTCTTCAGCTTGTCCTTGAATCGAGGTGACCTGGAAGTTGCGGCGATGATTGTACGAAGTATCGCGGCTAGATAATCCTTGCGGTCAACTCCTGCGATGTTCAAAAAGACTCGGAAGGCATATACGACGACCTACCTTGCATAGCTAGATCAATGAGACAAAATGCCATTACTGCAAAGCCAATTCCACGTCGTCTGTAAGAGAATATTTGAGGAGAGAATTTCAGTTGAGGCATATATCACGTACATTTGGCTGCTAGGAAGAGTGTCATTAATACATAACCCAAAGTCTATCTTCGGGGAAAGCGGGCGTGAGAGAGCAAGCTGTTTTAACATTAAGAAACCTGTTGAATGACTGTGACTTTCAGATATCCAAACGTTTAGCTCACCGCAAGCGATGTTAAGCACCAACATAGAAATACAAAGTATGGCAAAATCAAAAGCTATACCATTCATCAGTAATCACTTTGAATCCAAGGACAGAGAAGACAATCTACCACATATTGTAAGGTCCTTCGACTAGATAATGGAGAAGTTGTTCCTCCAAGGCTGCCTCTTATTTCAAAATACGTCTGTCAATAAAAATCAATTTTCTGAGATAATAAAATGAGATAAATGGTGCACACATGGATAATTAATAATAGAATAGCTGCTTGAGCCCTAATCTGTTGGTCAATCTGGGTAGGTCTAAGGTAAGTCTAAGAGAAAATACTCACATGGGTGCGATACCGTCCACAAAAGTACTCTGTACGAGACAGATAATTTTAGGAGGATAAGGATCGTTGTCATTAAAATGACCCGAGATGAACCTGATGAGCCGAGATATAGTCAGCAATTTCTTATCATGGAGCTCGATAGTGCCAATTTACGTACAAAAAAGAGGGTGGGATCGTGGCCAAGTAGCTGGTGATAAAAACATTTATTAAAAAAGAATTGGTTCGCTGGGGCAATTTCCTAGAAGAAAGCAGCGTTATAAGAAGTAGCAACAATAAGGCATTGTCTAGAAGGGCGAACACAAAATAAAGAATTACAATTGGAGATAACATGTCCTAGGTGGGTGGAATACTCAATATTCCAGCGTACAACAGGAGATGTGGTCAAAGTTGCACTGCAAAACGACAACGCCTTATATCTTTTTCAGGAGCTACAGGGAGCTACCCGTGGCGGATCAAGTCTGTGTTTACAACATTATGATGGAGTATCAGTCAGTGATCTTTCCTTCCTTCCTGAAGTAGAGTAGGAACTGCCATGGTGCTCCTTGACTAATATACTTAGTGATTAAAATACGGTTGGTCATACTTTAGTGCTCACACCACAGACTTGAGAATACGTCAGTTACTCTGAGTAATCAAGCAGTGATATAACTTAAGAAAGAAAATGGCAGCAGAGCGGAAAATGGCAATGAACAGAAAAATGCTGTGCGGTCTAAGGGCGGTCAGTGTCACAACTTTAATTTGATGCCATGGGAATGAAACAGTGCTTCGGCGGGCTCAGGTAAAATAGGCATTCATCAGGAAAGTGGTCATGGGCGGCTAAATGCCTTCATAGCAGGCCGATGTGCTACCTAGCACTAGCTAGAGTATGAGCAGTATGAACCGCTACACCCCGGCTAAACATCGCTAACCTACGGATGTCCGAATTTGTCTGCTCGAACAAGTCACGTGTAGTTCAACTTGCCTTTGCTTTCCAACTCGCACCCCAGACCACCACTACGCCATGGTAAGCACAGGACCAAATCACCACCTAATCTTCCGCAACTGCCTTTAATAACCTCCAAGACATCTTTTTATTCCTTCTGAATACCTTGAATCACTCTGCTGTGCTGTCTGAGGCTCTGCTCGCTGCTGTGACTCTGCTGGATCTCTTTCACTCACGAACCTTGTACCACTCGGGACCTCTCTGCTATACTTTGTACTAATGCACCTGCACCGTTTTATGCTCGCGTCTTGCTCTGCTGCTCGAGATCCATGACACTTGAGGAGAGATTGCACAGAGGTGAAATATGACGGCAAAATGTTCGTTCCGGTCATATAGTGAGATTCCAATTTTCATGTTCTCCGGCTTAATACTAACACAATTCTTATATTTGCGTGTCCCTTATGGGTGGTAGCATTAGTCAGTACGACAGGCCTTCACCATTATTAGGCTAGTTTAGCTCTATTAGGTTGAGTTAGACCACATATTACCTTAGACTTGTACAAGTACTTAGACTACAACTCGAATGTACTTTATGACCTGAATTATCCTGATTGAATGCGCTCATATCGAAATATAATCATTATAATTATATGCTATCCGACGATCGGTTGATGCCCCTAGACTCACCTATGGGAGATATGAGGAGCTAGATAGGACTCCAGGAGACTGCTCGCTACGTTGAGCTATGTCGGCAAGGCCGCTGCTAGACTGTGATATGGATAGTACGATACGACGTGTTCGCTTGTTACGGTACACGCGCTATAGTCGGTATATAGACCATATAGTTCTAGCCGAACTTTGACCTGTTTCCTGATGTAGTGAGCAGTGACCAATCACCTTGAACTCCACGGCTGCGAATTGACGGCCTAGACATGTTCTTGGTCCATCAGAGAAAGTTAATATCTGTGCAAATCCGTGAATTTCTTTCGCTCTCTCGGGTATGCCTGCTTTGGCAGAAACTCATCTGGAGGGCTTAAATTCTCTGGTGTCTTCGCCCCATATGATAATAGATCGGTTCATTTATCGAATAGGCACTTGGACAATAGTGCCTGCTGCAACGAAGATACTATCTGTCACCTTTCCAAGTTTTGATAGGCTGACTGAGAGGAATAATATCGTCCTCGAATGCCTGTATCCTGATGAGTACCAAATAAAGCACGGAAAATGATAAACTCGCCAGTCGTTGTGTTGTGCCGACAGGCGGATTGAGACGAAGAGTTTCTTTCATTACTGCGTCTAGCAGAGGGGGACCCGATACATGTTGTTCACATGTTGGATCTCCATCGATCTCAGAGTTCCGCTCTCAATTCATTTTGAATTTCCTTGTGCATTGCAAGACTTATTAATACCCACTGGAAGACGACATGGAGCATTGATAGGAGAAAATTCTTGAATGAGCGAAGTGTTTTAAAAATCAAGACATTAGAGTCCCATATCCGAATCCCTCTTTTACATAATGATATTTGAATGACATACTTCCGAACCGGAAACTATATGATATACAAGTCGAGTGCTGTGCTTCTCCGGAATCTTTATGGGCTCAGACAATGTGTTCTTTAGCTATCCCAGTTTACGAAGATTAGGCACTCAATGGAGCGGTTGTTGAGATAAATGCGAACTAATAAACGAGTCTCAGTGTTTGTGATACAAACGACTGAGGTTACATGCTAACTAGCTACTGCTTTTATAGACAAAAGCTGCGGTTACCATCGGAGTGTAAAATAGAAGTAAAAGTGGAACATGCGATAACTGAAGTAGAAAATACTACCGAACATCGGAGACTGTGACCATCGAGGAAAAATATGCAACAATACTTTATAAAGGATAGAATAAAACAAGTATTAGTAAAGTAAAGACCAAACAAATGTAGAACGAAGGAGAAGATAGCACATTGTGAATATAATAACTGTCAATATTCGAAACGTATCGTCGGAGTTAAGTCTGTGTTTGTTATTTCAACAGTGGTCTATTGAGAATATCTTTATACACTGGGGAGTAGATATCAATGGAACAAGATATTCGTGTTTCTAGACTCGTTATACTTCGTCTGGAATGGATGAAAGCGAAAGGGTCGTCGGCATGTTCATGCCGGACGAAGATCGCCAAACTCATGGTAGCGCCAATCTTTGGTTGTCGAATCACTGATATGATCTAGTGGATAGTACTTATACGTGAAGTCTAGTTTTATTTAGTAGCCTATAGCTCATCATTCAGTCACATATTGAAATTTCAAAGAATCTTGTCTCTGTAATCATCAGCTTTATATTATAGTCATATCTTCAGATAGAAGACAAGACGGGGAGACAGTATTCTATTTCAGATCTTCTGCCTATGGGATGTGAAGCATGTAGTATTAGTAAGGAGGGCATGTGGTTTAGGGGTATAACATTCGCTTAGCATGCGAAAGGTCCTGGGTTCAATTCCCAGCTTGTCCACTGTTTTTTTTTTTTGCTCCCCATGCGCCTTTCCTAGTTGCACAGCCTCGTTGCAACTAGTGAAATCTTTATCTATCTCAATTAATATTTACCATTCTTTTAGTTCTGTCACGGACTAATTAATCTTTAATGCAGAATAACCTCTCAAGCAGCTTGCCCTCATTGTCCAGGTGCACGTATCGGAGAAATTCTGCTTCCAGATTACTGTGAAAGTCACTCAGATAATTACCCTCCTCGAAATAAGAACAAATGTACTTAAACCCTTGTTACTGTAAACCATTCATTTGATCTGGAGTTCTGCCACACTGACTATGAGTTGTACTGTCATTGTTTGTGTTTATGATCTCACTCCTGCTATTTCCAGGTTTTTACATGACTCGGCATTTAATATAGATGAATACCTAGAGTAGAACGAGAGGGGTTTAAGTTTTGAGAAAATATCGCGGTGGTCGCGGCCATCATTGACCCTCAACAGAACGCGGATGAAAGGTCATCCAAATTAATGACATTAACCCAGAAGAATACGCATGACCATAACATCGAATTCCTACGTCTCATAACAAAATACGAGGAACACAGGAGGAGCATACCGCTTTGACACTCCGACCGACCTAAATCCAAACTCCGCCATTCACCCCTCATGGCGACCTATCATTCCAACTCTCGCTCGCACGCGCCCTCCTCATCCGCATTCTCAACACCCGCCTCAACATCCCTATTTCGCCGCCTAACATGGGAGGGCACAGTCCCCCTTGAAATTCGCATCGATTCCAAGGAGCTGCCGGCCAATTCGGACCGCGGCCTCGAGAGCTATTACATCCAAGCCCCGCGTGTTAGCTATCTACCGTTGCTGATACCTGATATCAAGAAGTTCCTCACGGATTTAGTGTTGGATGATGCGGGGAATATGAGTGTACGGGAGAGTGATTGGTGGTTTGAGGGCGAGGATGGACAGCCGATCAAATGGTGAGGAGCATTGGAGCGTTGTCTGGCGTTATAGCATTCGTCCTTATCATTATACTGTTATCAAGGCATTGGTCGATTGGATTACTATACGATTGCCACACTGTTTCGCTGAACACTGCGAGTTCATCACAAGCGTTACCATTACGAATGATTCTGCATCTAGCGTCACCTCCGGTTGATAAGCTCCTCCTACCGCCCAGTCAAGAAGCATGCAAACAGGCGTTCATGGGGCAATTGAAGGAGGCGGATTTCCTGCGGTGGGGTAGCACGAAGCGCGTCACCGGTTTAAGGAAGGTAGAGCAGGACGGGATGTGGGAAGGGATTAAAGATCGTGAGTTAATCCGTCTCCATCCATATCATTTATTCTGATATGGATTTATATTAACAGATAATTTCGAAAATTACTGGCGTGTTGCCTCGAAAATCGTTCCCACCGCGACCCCTTCATCACATCCTCAATCACCTATTATGACTGGTGGAGGTCTAAGCCCGCACGCCCAATCTACACTTCAACCACGCACGCAATCGAACGAAGGAGGTGGATCATCAGGTGCTACGCCTGATAGTGCTTATAACGTCCGCAATGTTCCTATTAGGGTATATTTACCGGATGGCCCTGTTCTTCAGGATTTAGTAGCCCCCATTGATAACGAAAGTGCGTTATATCACATATTGTTTCCTCTACATGCTAATATTAAACGTTTTGCTTTCATAGACAAACCAGTTCTTCTTGAACGCTTCCTCTCTGCGCATCTACCCTTATTATTCCCGCCCAACGGACAACCATTAGCTTACACAATCGTGCAAGGTGTTACATGTCCTTTGCAATCCGAAATTGCATGGTTAGGGGCTTGCCTATCGAGCGCTGATGGATGGGTGAACATTTGCGTCGGTTTAGGCTCTGGAGACTCTTAAGAAACTTGCCTAACTATCCAAATTCCTAGCTCTTGCCTACTTTTCACTTTATTGCCCGTGCTCCATCCTCATGTTGTGCTGTTTTATAATATATATACCAATGCCTTCCCCTTGTGATATATCTGTAGTAATAAACGAAAGCTGACGCGCTTGTCGTGTCTCATTCTACGCCGCCTCGGATGGAAAATAATTCCTATTAACTACTAATCAATTATAGATCTAGATACAATGAGAAGGTAAAATTGAAAAATACTAGAAGCTACAGGAGGAGGGGATTGAGAATAAATAGGACGAGTGCACAAGATCAAAATATACTACTAAAAGCTACAGGGAGAGGAGGAGGAGATATCTGGTAATACAGCTGGGAACGAGGTACAGTCTTAGAAATATAATTAGATGAGTGGGTCTAAATCTGGCTTGGTCGTCTTCGAATATCCATAACAATTTCAGTTTCTTCGCGGGGTGTTATTGGCAGTGTTGGTGTTGGTGTTTCTTTTTCTTGATTTTCACTCCCGCGTAATCCCCACACTTGCAGGACGTTCTACATGCAACAATCACGATGAGCTGATGCAAAGTAACCATGGATGGGCGTACAAACCTTCTGCGTCCCGAAGATAAGGAATGTCTCTAATCCATCTGTTCACGCTCGTCTCAGAACATCCCGAAGAAAAAGGAGTCCCAATGAACTCACGCAAAGCGAAAATAACAGTCTTGGCGATCAATAATCTGTCTCCCTTGATTACATCCATCGAAGCGATTGAAAGTAAGGCGGATAACCTAATGCCAAACATCAGTATATATCATTCCTAGGGATAAATAATGGACTCACAAGAGCAATAAAACCTGGAACACACAAAACGCAAGCAGTCGAAGGACTAGGAAAACATCTACTCTCAGAATCTGGACCCCATTAGTATTAGAACTAGTAGTAGTTGGGCTTTGAGTCTCGATATCTGAGGCCGAGGATTGAGCTTGAAGAGTCTGAGGCCGCTTCCTCCAGACGAGGACGATGATGTACACTAATAGTGGATGGCATCGTGATGAGCTAGCCATATCCATTACTCATAGTTGGTAACGTACCTTGAACAATGAGCGTCACCAACCCGAGAGAGAATACACAATAGCCGACGTAGCTCTTCCTATAAATGCCAGATTCCATTCATTGAATAGTCAGTCATATCATATAGAGGTATCTAATCGTGTCGACTCACAGTTTGATCCCATGCTGCGATACGTCAAGACATATGAGGGGGTTAGCGAGCCTTAGATGTGTGGAGTGGGAGGCTATCTGTATTTTATTTTAATTTCGCGGTCACAGATAGGCTCGTTATAGTAAGAGCAACGTACAATCCCAGAGAACACACTCAAAAGAATGAATATAATGTACGGCAAGGCTAGAAGCTGTGGTAACACTTTTAGCGAGGCATCCAAGGCTGGTAGGGAAAGACTCACAAAAACGCGCAACTTCACACATTTCATCGTAACAGCCGCTTCGCCCCTCATCGCAGCTCGCAGAGTTAACAATGTCTGTTATAATCGTAATCATAAATATCAACAATGTTGATGGGCGACAGGAATGACACGCACATGGATAGCAAAGATTAAGAACGCAGTAAGATACCTAATAATTAAATCAAATCGAATAAGTAATAATCCTTCCGGGGATGCCCATTGGAATTCACGAAGCACTCACATTGTTGTACCCCCATTCGTCAACGCAACCTGCCACACACACAACCCCCTCCTCGGTTCACCCAATCCTCCCCCGTAAAGCCTTCCAAAATCATCGTTAGCTCCCAATCCAATAAAACAAATGAAAACAAGTAAATTCAACGCACAAAATCCCAGGCGGAAGCGTCGTCCCCAACGAAACAGCCACAAAGTTTACAAAATACGCATTCTGGGACTGCGGGAGCCTCTTAACGACAAAAAGCGTGATGAGTAGGGCTATTAGGCCTATTTGCCCGGCGGTCGTGAGGATGAGCCAGAGGATGCAGAGCGGTTGGAAGGGCATTGGCGTTGGGATGGGATTTTCTTAGTACGAAGTGTCGCTGCAACGGTATACCGATAATGAAATGGTACAGCGTCGCGACTCGGATGTCGGATGGATAGATGGGGCTCGGGATTGAGGGCGCGGGGAACCTGGCATTGCGTCGTGGGGTATCACTGCATGTTATACTGCTGCAGTAACTCAGCGACTCGACTCAGGTCGTCGTGCCCAGACTCGGGTGTCGGTGACCATGTCGATCCGTTTGCCGACTCTTCCACTGGAATGGAGGACGCGTGGATACGCAGTGCACATCGTAGGACGTTCCGAATGTAGACCAAAATCCAGAATGGAATCAGAATGGAGACCACGTGCTGATTTTAACTAGACGGGTGTCACTATTAGTGATAACCAGTGGCGTCAATGGGGATTTCCTCGTTTGCCGAATGAAGGATGGATACGCATCGTAGGACGTTCCGAATGACCAAAATTGAGATAGAATAGAAACGCGGTTCTGATACTGCCTAGAACGCATCTAGACCCTAATGGGAAAAAAAAAATTGGTACTCTAGGGTAGGCAGTGTGTAACATAGAGACGGCACCATAATCAACGAGAGGTGCCAGATGTGAAGAGGCGCGGTGCTCGCTTGCAGGGCCCTCGGAGGTGCTGTCATTGGCCGGGGGCCCCGCCAGCAGGAACAGCAATGGATTGAGTTCGGGCCTCGTTATTAATTATTCGGTCCGTCCGGTGTAGGAAAGACCTTCACGGCCGAGAGGGTTGTAACTGAATATTATTTGAAAGGATTGGCGTGCTAGGGTAGGAGGATTATATTCAGACGTTATATAATTATAGGTGGGAAGTCTAAGGGGAAGGGAGCGTGCATATCTAGATCTTAATTATCATATGTTCCGAGCGATGGCACGACCGCCGACGAACCGGGATCTGCATCAAGTACGACTCGGGACTACTTAGTGATTTATGTAAATGATTCTGGACAAATTTATCGATGGAAGAAACGGCCCATCGCCACCTTCGACCATTATCAACAAGAGCAGTGGTTCTTGAATCAGTATACTGAAAAGTTGAAGTTATATCCACATGCTCTGTCTCGCTAGCGCACATCAGGCAATT